TATCCCAAACTTTCATCATTTGTGAAATAGTGCTTGTTAACCAAGATGCAGGAGGCTTTGTAATTCAACGTGTTTCAATAGGGGCATGCATATCAAAAAGCTTCTCCATACTTTCCACAAGTATATGTAGTTTATCGTCAATATCTTCTTTCTCATAGATGGAAAATAATGGAATTCTATCAAGATCAAAATCAAAATTCACCAAATTCATTTTGTTCAAAGCGCGACCCGTAACCATCCTAGATTCTCTGTGTTGCTTCTTTAGACGATATTCACAAAATACTAACTGATGGTGATCGGATGAGTAGGAAACGTTCTTAAGCAGCGGAGTAATAAATCATTGAGTCGGTTGAAAAATGAAAAAATGTAGTATTTACTTCAAACATTCAATGTTGTTGTATGATTTATGTTAAAAATCTGTTAAAACTGTTTTTCCTTTAATCGGCTGTCGCTCTAACGGGGTCTTACGTTTTAACGTTAGACAGTAGCCGGTTGGTTCGACGTTGGTGCTTTGTTCACTCACTCAAATCGACCGTCGTGTTGGTCGTTGGTTCAAGTCCTAGGCTGAACGATCGATTTTCACTTGCTATCGTCCAACCCGTGTTAGGAATCACACGTTAAAAGGTAAGGCCTCGTTAGTCCTTAGCTCCCACAAGTTTCGACTTCTGAGGGTTGACGTTCGTAGGCGTGCGACAGCTGGTTAACGGAAAAACAGATTTTAACGTGTTATCCTCAACACGGATTGGACGATAGGAAGTGAAAATCGATCGTCCGGTCTTGCGGTTCGAACTACCGGTTCGCACAGTGGAGGATTGCGTGAGTAATGCAAACCACCAACGTCAACTAACCAGGCTACCGCCCCTCCGGTATTGATATTACAAATCTCAAAAGACTTTTTATAGTTATATGTATATTCATAATTGATAGGTTTTTGGAAACCCAAAATTGTTTCGATTACAATTTTCAATACTTTCTATGAAAAGCTCATTTTAATGTATCGCGTACCTGAACAACTTACGTGAATAAATCAGGCATATCTAGATATTATCAAATTTCGCTAGAACAGACGATGACGTGATGATTTGACCCGATCGAATACTGCTTTGATAAGGTACTTCATTACCTGAAGAACATGAATTAACATTTGAGCCCTTGCTTCTCAATCAGTATTGTTATAAGTAGGTAAATTATACTTAGTGCGTGATTAAAAATGGCTACTTCAGTTTTCTCGATTTTTAACGTTTTTCTTTCTCCATAGAAGATAGGAAAACATTCAAACTTAAAAAATCAAGAACTATTTTTCACAAATGAAATTGCCTCTGAAAATGGACTCTTTTTAGTATACTTGTATCCTTTGAACTGAACATTTTGGTACTTTTTATAATAATCTGTACATTCGTTTGTTTCAGCCTCAAGATGTTATTATTGCACGACACATTATGGATACCTAATGTCCTTCAAAAATCATCATTTTGCCAGTTCCTGATCAGGATTGCCTTATGAAAACTACAACTTCAAATGTGTGAACCCCCTCCAGGAGTCGTGGTTGGCCCGTATACAAGGTAAGTTTTTTTCGAAAAAGTTTTGATTATTGATTGTTTTATCCAGGGTATATTTCAAAACTCTCTCACAATAACCTTTGCATGAAGAAGGCGAACTTGAAGTGCTTGACAACTGTATGCCAGTAATTATTCATATTTATCTAAAGATTATAAGATAATTTGAGAAACTGAAACGATTGCACTCAGCCTACTAAGGCTTTCATTGGAAAAATCTACTATAAACAAAAGTTCCCCTTGAGATCTTGGAAAACATGTAACTACATATGACCTTTCCAAAGCATTTGACTGTATGGAGCCAACGACATTTTTTGTGGAGGAACCAGACTTTTTATTGATTTTTCCGGTATTGTTCCGAAAGATGGAATATATCACCTTCATACTGAATTCATGTGTCACGAGCTCGTGTTTTTCTTCCCTTGAAACATGCATTTGTGATTTCCTTGGCCAAGCGTGACTCTCCGGCATATTATTCTGATTTTACGCCCATTAGTATCTTACCTTTCTTGTATAAAACGCTTGAACTGATTTTCAAAGATCTGGTCTGATGATGGAATTTGTAAGTTTTTACAATATCATAACTACCGTTCAGTCTAGGTTTTGTTCCGCTCTCCTCTCCATAACTGATGATATTTTCAAAGCAACCGATAAAAATAATATTACATGTCTAGTTTTATTAGACTTCAATAAAGCTTTTGATACATTAGACCGCAGTCTTTTATGTAGTAAACTAAATTACTTTGCTTTAGATAAATGAACTGTATATCTTATTAAAAGCTTTTTGGAACACCAAACTCAGTGTATCGGCCTTGATCAATCCAAATCAGCAGTTCTGAATTTCAAATTTGGGGTTCCACAAGGTTTCATTCTTGGACCTATTTTATTCAACATCTATATCTCAGATATATCTCAGATTTCTATAAAAATACAAAATTTTACACTATCCATCACTACGCTGATGATTATACTCAAATGTACCTATATTTTCCGGAAAACAACCTGGAAGCACAAGAAGTCATAAATGAAGGTCTAAATTCGCTGTACCACATCTCATGCGCACATGACTTGAAATTGAATGCAAAAAAATCAGCATGTGTGTTATTTGGACCCAAATCTAAAATGAGACTGACTTCTAACCTCATCAACCCCTCACTTCTTAAACTAAAAACTTGGGTTTGTGGATTGACTCCGATTGGAGATTTTCCAAACATATCAGTCATCTTTGTAAATCATCTTAACATTCTCATACACATTTTTCCCAATGGAGATATTCTTACAACACAACTCAAACTTTGCGAAACTTTAATTTTTTCTGAATTATCATATTGATCACATCAATAATAGGTTTGATGACTCCGTATGGTGAAGGCTTGAACAACTACGCACTCTACAGGCTTGTTGGCTTTTCACAGACTAGCAACTATTATTCTCGAAATGGCTTTATCTTGGTCATTCCCAAACACAGCTCGGCACTTTTTAATAGTAGTTTTTCCTATAATTCCTCTGAACTGTATAATAAATTGCCCAGTGATTTCAGACTCTACACTCTACACGATAATGACAGTTAAAAAACGCTTGAAACTTCTTCTTAAATCCTAGTAATTGGTGCTCTATATGTCGATTTTTGCCAAGCTCTTTTTATACTGATTTTAATTAAACCTGCTTCATTGTGTTGGTTGATTTATCTTTTTTTCTATACTTGTTTTTATATAATTGTTTTTTCAAATGTATATTTTGTAAGATTGATTTGAAAAACAGCTTATGTTGATAATCCGCCTGTTCATCGAATTTATTTTGTCAATAAATATATGGAATTAAAAAGTGAAGGCGATTGTATAAAGAATTGAAACAACTTCCATACGAAGTGGCACAAGACCCCTCTTTCTATTTGAAAAGAAAAAGTTGATAGCGTCCTTTCGGCGGCCAGTGATGTCACACTATTGGCTTTTTTCAAACATTTTGAGGACCATTTGCGTCCCCACTGTATAATATTGTTCGGTCATAGTCACTATTTTTGCCCTGTTCAGCAACTGTCTATTCTACTCGTAATTCATTATTGCCTAATCCTTTCTTTTATTTATATTGTTGACTATCTTTTTGTGTCAAAAAAATATCAATTTATTTTCATATAAAAAAAGGTAATACAAATTATGAAATTATGAAACAACAAAAATTAATTAGTGCTCCGGGGCGACTTCGATTCTAGTGGCGCATTTGCTTTTTCAGCTACAGGAAAACCCGGAAAAACCTGCAGCACCACATCATCTGAAGATCTTGAACTGCCAAGGTCCTCTCTTTCATAGAATAAAATGTAGGATGTCTCCAGAGGCTACAATAAATTCAAAATATTGCCAAAATATTTAGTAACACGACTATCGTCAAACTTAAATCAGTCTGTTTTGTCTTTGACCAATGTATAATAATGACCAGGTTCAACGCCAGAACCACAGTGAATATGCAGTAACAGCATGAAGATTATAATAGTGGTCTGTTAGATTGAAATGTTCATCTATTTCGAACCTTCGTAAGAGTTTGGTACTTCCGTCAGAGGTTGAGTCATGTTTGAAGATCATTAGTGTTATTATTAAATTGACTTGATGCATCAGCTATACTTGTTGTCTTATTATAGTCAGTAAGTTTGGCGTATATTTGGCCGTACAGTTGATCATCAAGCGTTAAAAGTTCTATTTTCAGATGATTCATCAATAAGCATGGACTGTTTATTAGTCATAGGAAACGCTAGTTGAAGTTCTAAAAGTCACATACGTTTTTGATACCTTTTGAACATGTACTACAAAGTAAACTAGTGAGGATTTTTTCCAGCAAAAGATCTACAAACACAAGACGGAATTATTGAAACCAGAGCGATCAGGAGTATTGATTCTGCTATTTTGCTGCTCATGGAGAGTACTCAACAAGAACCCAAAGAACAATTCTCTTGTTGTCCTAACGAGTATCTAGTAGACTCCAAACACTCCAGGAAATCGGTTGGTGGGAAAAATGATACATTCTCACGAAACTCCATCTGCATCAATAGGTGTTTGGAAGTAGGAACCATTCTCGTTCTCGTTCATCATTGAAACCTCGTTCTTGAAATCCTTCTTCATGAACAAAACTTGTAAAATACTATTTATGTAGCAAGTATTTCCTAAAGTATCCAATGACATATTTTTGTGCGGATCTGGTTATTATTTTCTCAAATATTAAAAATGACACCTAAACATATTTACTACATTGCAAGTCAGTATCACTAATTAAAACCTGAATGGAATTTTGCGCAACGTTGCTTCGAATTCTAAAAATACTCCAACAATCATGGAGGATGTGACAAGAACATTTCGATAGACGGAGGTTATCAAGTCGTTCATTGAACTTGATACTCACAAATCTGTCAACAAAGAACAACGAAAATTTCAGCAGTTGATATTTTACGGTGCCAATATGTTGAAATTCACTGTTTTCTTGATATTATTATCAAGAGTTTCGTGTCAAAATTGTTCCTTTGGCCGTATATCAGCCGAAGTACTGGTTAACGTGGATAGTGAAGTGGAGAAAGTGGATTTCAGTGGAAAAGTCGAGCTGCCCGAAGATAATTTTCAGCTTTTTATAAACCAACAGAATCTACCGAGGCTGTGCGAGAACTCTATACACATCATCAATGAACTGTCTATACTCCAGGTTCGAAATTCAAATTTGCTCGCTATCGATCCAGGAGCTTTCAACATAGCTCCTGCTTTGGCCTTGTTGAAAATAAGCTACAATCCCTTGACAGTCTTGAGAGCAGGGGTGTTCAATAAGGTTAGGACGAAAGAAATTGACGTTTCCCACAATTTTATTTCGGTGATTGAAAAGGAAACTTTCGATAACAACTCATGGTTGGAGGTGGTGTCTCTAAGCCATAATGCTATCAAACATCTGGATCCGGACTGGTTCCAAAACAGCCCGAATGTATATAAGATAAGCATAATTTACAACGAGCTGACTAGAGTACCTGACGAAGCATTTCGAAACATGGCAAAGGATAGAGGTTTGAAGCTGAGGCTTTCCGCAAATATGATTTCAGAGGTAGCAGAAAAAGCATTCGAAGGCATTGAAACGGTACAAAATCTGTGGATGAATGGAAACAAACTGAGAAGTCTCCCAACCGCTCTTTTCAACAATATAAGTATCATAAACCTTGAACTGAACACTAACAATCTCCTGTGTTTTCCTGAAAATATGTATGGATGCGGTTTGAAAAAGTTACAGTTTTTGGATAACCAACAGTTCAGGTGCGATTGTTTGAATGAAGTGAAAGATTTTGTCATTGAAAACAGTGTGGATATTGTCTATCCTTCTATAATTTGTGAAAACAAAACTAGACAGGTTAATGTGGTGTTCAATTTTAACAAAACTTACGAAATTCCTATATTCTCGTAAATAGGTTACAAGTGTTATACAGTGAAGGTTTTTTTTGTCAATAAAATATTTTACTTGTTTCTGAAATATTTGTTTCACAACCGAATGGATCATTTAAAATATTCTCATATTATGTATTTTCATTTACAATTTAACTATTCGATTTGGGGAATTAATTGGTCAAATTTCATGAATTAAATGTAGCATAGATTGTAGATTAATTACTTTCTGTTTTAACTTCAATTAGTTAAATACTAGACTTCTGGAATGATTTCATTTTATAGATTTATTTCGTATGATAATTTATATTCTCCAAAATTTTGAGAGATGATTTCATTTTAGGTGAGCTGATGATGCTTAAATGAAAATAGTTTTTCATCATAATTCGGTGGCAATTGATAAGAATAGCGTAAAAGAAAACATTAAGCCTTATGATTCGTTGGTTATTTTTCAGCATTCAACGCCTGTAAGCACTGCAAAGAAAAACTCATTGATTCACATCATGGGTTTGATACTAGTAAATGGAAATCAGCTAATTTACTAATCTCTTCTTTGAAAAAAAAAATACACAAAATCCCGAGTCCGAATCAATGGAATAATTGTAATGATTTATTGCTGGTTAGATTAGATTGGTATTGTTCAAAAATAAAAAAGTTGAAGTTTTATAAAGTGGGCATTCATCTGGGTGTGCTAATGGTTAAGATTATTTCTTGAAATCTTCTCAGCTGAATGTATCGATATAAGAACAAAATATATAAATTTTGTTAATGCCACATTAATTATATTTTCATGGCTGTCAGTTTTATCGATGTCATTTTTGTCGCTAATTGGAAGACCCAATTTATCGATTTTATGGATAAACTTCCGTTTTTTAACAAAAACTTTGTACTCAGTTTCAGTTTGAACAAATTTATATTCATCTGAGAAAATTTATAGGTCTAAGGGTATTCCTGAATATTATTAACTGAATTATTTTCAGCTGAATGCATCGATATAAGAACAAAATATCAATTGTCAAATTAAATCAATTTCGTCGCCTGAATAACGAGACATTTCTAGGAGAACATTTATTTTTGTCTCTGTTTCTTATTTCTAATAATTGTTTTAGTAGTTATGGTTTTTAAATAATTTTTCATAAAGGTGTCGAATCTGGCTTGCGGGCTGGCCATTCTGTAGGACCTCGACGGCCAATCCAACGACCGGAAAAAGTAGTATCCAAATATTCTCTGGAATAATGTGGTGGTGCTCCATCTTGTTGGAATACAATATCCATATCGAATTCATTAGGGTTCGCTTCGATGACATCAGTGATGAGAGGGTCAACAGTAGTTTCCAGCATATTCAAAAACAGTTTCCGTGTTGAATTTTGATCAATAAATAGAGGTCCTACAATATGGTTTCCCAATATTCCTGTTCAAACGTAATTTTTTTTTGGATATTGGGTATGTCTTTCCCGGAAAACGTAAGGGTTGGTGTCACTCCAATAACGGAAATTTTGTCTGTGAACTAAATGAGAATATTCTAGCTGAACAATGATGCTCATTGTCGTACTGACATTTTTTGTCTTTTTTATAAACAAAAAATAACTTAACAAACCTTATCGGGTTGTTGGAATTGCCATATGGCAGATAAAAACGAACATTTCTAAAAATATCGATATTAATGTGTTTGTATTCAGGAAATTATTAAATGTTCCGCCATTTTGTAGTAGGTGAAGATTTGACTCCATATTGTAGGGTTGTGAAGTAGGTATTCGTCCGGAGCTTCGAAATTATGTATCACAAGACCACCCTTTCCATTGAATTTTTTTCCCAGATGGCGCCCAATCGCCATTTTGAAAGTTTCATCTGTCAATTTCACTTTAAAATAAAGTATTCATGCATTAATATCATTATCCCAAACTTCAATTTTTTGAGTTGACCCGTTCAAAGAATAAAAGGAGAGGGGGCATTAAAAAATGCACTGTATATTATACAGATCAATTACTACACATAAATATCTTGTCTCGTTATTGTATTGGTTGTTATGATAAGCGTCATTCTTCAATTTTCATCTTAGATCATCAACTTATTTGATAATAAACTTTTTTTATACCTGCCCGCTATACCACAAATTTCTATAGGTTCTTATTTTTAATGACCTTTGAAAAAGTCATATTTTTTCATTCAGTTCAACATTCCATTTGCATTGAATCACATCATTTTCTTTGTACCACTTCATTCCTGAGGCAGAAAAAAGTTCGACCATCGTCGGTCAGATGTTCCAGTGTAATTTGAAGAAGGCTGATTTTTCTTGGTTTCCCACATTATGACATATTTCCATGACTCACTGGAATACACTTTTTATTCGCAGCAGGAACAAGGAACGCCATGTATTTTGTATTGATGATAAACATGTCGCATGACACTAACTCCCTCCTAATTATCAGTACATCATTTCTTGTGAAATCGTTGGATTCATGTCTATATTTAACTGTATGATTTCAGTCGAATCTATTCTGGATAACCCCCCTTATTCGTCATGATCTACCTGTTACTTTTCAGGCAACAACAGATAATTTTTGAGGTTAATTACTTATTTAGAATAGATATTACGTGAAACACGGATTGTTCGACCTATTATTTTTCTCATGTCATGATTATTTTATAGAAACGGTGTCACTGAAAATATTAAAAGTGAATCATAGGTATACACATTTATTTCATTTCATTCCAAACTAGGAATTTCATAAATATTGTCAGTTGTTATCGTGAATTTCAAATTTTTCATGAAATATCGACCACTGATTTTATTTCATCAATTAAATTAACAATTTTTAATGATTTTTGTAAATTATATATGTTGTAAACTCAGTACCTAATAATTACGACATTGAAGTCAAAATTTCGAGATTAAAGTCTGATTTTCGAGATTGAAGTTGAATTTTCGAAATCACAAGATTTTAAAGTCAAAATTTCGAGATCAAAATCGAATTTTCGAGATTAAAGTTGAATTTTCGAAATTGAAGCCGAATTTTTGAGAAAAAAGTCGAAATTGCGAGATTCAAAGTCGTAATTTCCATGAAATAAATAATAAAAATATGTGGCCCTTCTGCGCTTTCGTACAACAACAACTTCCACTTGTAATCTTGTCTATGGAAAATATGCCCAGCAATACTGAAAACAAATCATTAATATAAACTACTGGAAAGTTCAAATAGTCAGTAACTAGTTGTATTCATAAATTTTGCCTACAAATTGGAAAAATCCAGATAAGATTCATTTCCACAGAACTATTCGAAATACACTTGTTACCTGCTAAAAGAATATATGCGGTATCGTTGAGTTTTCCAATTTTTCCATGAGTTTCTTTGGTTTTTGTTCCATTTAAGATTATTTCTTGAAATCTTCTCAGCTGAATGTATCGATATAAGAACAAAATATATAAATTTTGTTAATGACACATTATGGATAAACTTCCGTTTTTTAACAAAAACTTTGTGTTCAGCAATACCATTATATTGCCAAAGTTTCAGTTTGAACAAATTCATATTCATCTGAGAAAATTTATAGGTCTAAGGGTATTCCTGAATAGTATTATCTCAATTATTCTCAGCTGAATGCATCGATATAAGAACAAAATATCAATTGTCAAATTAAATCAATTTCGTCGCCTGAATAACGAGACATTTCTAAGAGAACATTTATTTTTTGTCTTTGTTTCTTATTTCCAATAATTGTTTTAGTAGTTATGGTTTTCAAATCATTTGTTATAAAGGTGTCGAATCTGGATAGTAGGCTGGCCATTCTGTAGAACCTCGACGGCCAATCCAACGACCGGAAAAAGTAGTATCCAAATAGTATCCAAATATTCTCTGGAATAATGTGGTGGTGCTCCATCTTGTTGGAATACAATATCCATATCGAATTCATTAGGATTCGCTTCGACGATATCAGTGATGGGAGGGTCAATAGTAGTTTCCAGCATATTCAAAAACAGTTTCCGTGTTGAATTTTGATCAATAAATAAAGGTCCTACAATATGGTTTCCCGATATTCTTGCCCAAACGTTTTTTTTTGAATATTGGGTATGTGTTTCCCGGAAAACGTGAGGGTTGGTGTCACTCCAATAACGGCAATTTTGTCTGTGAACTAAATGAGAATATTCTAACTGAACAATGATGTTCATTGTCGTACTGACATTTTTTGTCTTTTTTATAAACAAAAAATAACTGAACAAACCTTATCGGGTTGTTGGAATTGCCATTTGGCAGATAAAAACGAATATTTCTAAAAATATCGATATTAATGTGTTTGTCTTCAGGAAATTATTAAATGTTCCGCCATTTTGTAGTGGGTGAATATTTAACTTCATACTGTAGGGCTGTGAAGTATTCGTCAGGAGCTTCAAAATTATGTATCACAAGAACCCCCCTTTCGATTTAATTTTTTTTTCCCAGATGGCGCCCAGTCGCCATCTTGAAAGTTTCATCTGTCAATGTCACTTCAAAACAAAGTATTCATGCATTAATATGATTATCCCAAACTTCAATTTTTTTTGTTCACCCGTTCAAAGAATAAAAGAAGGGGGGGCATTGAAAAAATGCACTGTTTATCATACAGATCAATTACTCTACATGAATATCTTGTCTCGTTGTTGTATTGGTTGTTATGATAAGCTTCATTCATTACGAAACAGAAAGATCATTTCTATGATTGCAAATTATCTGAGCATTTATAACTTTTCAAAATTCCAAACCGAAACACTTCTGGGTGTAAAAATTTCAATTTTCGTCTTGTATCATCAACTT